CAGACGGATGCGAACGAGAAGTTTAATGAATGAAACTGGTTCCTGCATTCTTAACGGCCCTTAAGTTGAATTTCTCACGGCGGCGATTAAGAAGATGGCTGTCTTCTGGGTTTTTGAGTCGTGTAGTCTGATAAACGTTTACCGACGTTTCAGAGGTGCTTCTTGTAGCCATTCTCAGCCCTTGACTTGTATTCGGAAGGTAGAATACGACCCAAATGCGACGGAAATTTCGCCATTGATGACGCAGAAAGTCTGCATCACCACTTCCTTCGCACGTGATACGTTTCAAACCGCCGTGCTGATAACACGTAATAAACTGAAGTCGTGGTCGAATCGTTATCATTTCTGCTTCGTATTCGGGAGGTCCCGGTATCAATTCTCGGCCCGGAAACCGGCTGTCCTCACTGAAGTCATTCGTCGTTTTCCTCAGTCCGTCCAGGAAAATATCGGGGTAGTACCTAAAATTAGAACACACCTTTTCTTTTCACATCATTTCCAGTTCATTATTAACTACCATCCTCTCATTCGACGCTGTAGTCTGAGATACGGAAAGCGTCGTTAAATAAACTGTAAATATATGCAAAAAACAATATCATGGTGCAAGTCATAAAAGTATTTCCAACTATTTTTCGTACTTATGGGTTAGCCCAGCGATCGCCAACTTATTTTGGGTGACGGGAAACTAGGAAGAGCTTGTAATGTAGCATCGCACAATTTTGCCTTTTATTTTATCTTCAAGGTCACAAATTCAGTATTTGCACAACGTATGGCACAATAATTTATTAATAAAATTGCACCAAAAATAATCAATTACAATTTACCGCCATCCCGCTAAAACGCCAGTACTCTTGGTTTAAACGTGGCGTACTAACGGGGCCAGACTCTGGATGTACGAGGGGTTTTAAAATTAAAATGAAATATTTGCTGATATTTTATATCACTGTATTCCTGCGCGAAGGAAAGGAACTGACTAGTTACCCAGCAACCCTGAGGATGGGAACAGAGATGGTTCTCGAAACGTTGGCAGAAGACATAGTTTGTTCACTGTTCAACCACCTGACGAGGCTTGTAGCCCGAGAGTGTTCCAGTAGACATTCTCTTCTGTCACGCACGCCAGTAATTTTTTAACCTGATTGCTTGAATACAACTAACAAATCTAGGAGTAGAATAAATCTCACTGTCACTTCACTTTGGCTACCTTTCCAACTCCCGTCTCTTTATTTGTACTTAACTGTGTCGGGTGGTACAGCCAGATATTTAGGAACGGTCGCAAGGAATCAAAATTGCATTTACGAAGTAATTAAGAGCAGGTTAAATTTGGGAAACGTTTGTTACGGTTCAGTTTAGAACATTTTTTTCTCTCTTTGTTTCGTATTCAGAAAAGTAAATAATGCACCTATGAAATTGATCGCAACTGTTATTTCCTGGTTCCCGGAAGGGGCTGCTACAACAAAGGTAAATTGATTATATTATTTATCGTAACAGGAAAACCTTGTATCGCATGAAAACGAGTCATGAAGATCCAGCCGGAAGCCGGGAAGCGACAGTTGCTTTCAACTTTATCAGTGAACGTACTGTATGTAATTTATTTATTTAGTGTTCTGTCTGACGACAGGTCCATATGAACAGGATCCTTCCATCCTTTTCTCGGACTGGGACCTCTTCATATACGTTCTTGGCAGATGATCCAGAAGTGGTTTGCCATTGCCTTCTTCTGTGTGTGAATGGAGTAATTGTTGGGATGCCACGGAGGAAAACTCCGTGTTGCCTAGACCACGGACTTGCCCAACTCCTTTTCTCGGACTGGGACCTGTTCATACACGTTCTTGGCAGATGATCCTGAAGTGGTTTGCCATTGCCTTCTTCTGTGTGTGAATGAAGTAATTGTTGGGATGCCACGGAGAAACCTGGGAAGCCCCCGGAGAAAAACTCCGTGTTGCCTAGACCACGGCCTTGCCCAACACAAGTTATAAATTCGGGCACCGCCGGGAATCGAACCCGAGACCCCAGGATACGATACTATAATTTTACTGGTCGGTTTTTTGGGGTATGAAACGATGTCTTTCGCAGACTGAAGGTATGTGAATCAGAATAATTCGGATATTTGGGTCTAAGACAGAGAAAGGAAGGGGGAGGGGGGTGAATTCAAGAAAGAATATGGCAAATATGGCGGAGAGTCTCAAGAGACCCTTTTGGAGACCTAATCATAGATGGAAGAATTATATTAGCATTACTTTAATTCAAGAAATATGATGTAAGGTCTCATACAAATAAAAACTGAAGATTAAAATACACAAAAGTTTGAGGGAGGAACATAGATTGAGGGTCTTTGAGAACAGAGTGTTGGGGAAGATATTTGGACTTAAAATGGAGGAAGACCGATCATGGTGAAATTGCATAATGATGAGCTTCACGGCTTGTACTCCTCACCTGATATTATTAAGGTGATTAAATCGAAGAGGATGAGGTTGGCGGGATACGCAGCACGCATGGGTGAAGGGATGAACACGCTGGGAAGTCTTGGGCGAAGGTGGGAGGATAACGTTAAGTTGGACTTCACGGAGACGAATCGAAGGAGCGAACTGGATGCAGCTAACTCAGGATAGAGTCCGGTGGCGGGCTTCTGTGAACACGGTGATAAACCTTCGGGTTCCATAAAGAAAGTGGATTATTCTTTAACATACGAGTATACAATTGACTTTACAAAGGTCATCCTACACCATAGAGTGAGTGAGTTATTTGATTTAAGGATGTGAACTGGTTCAACTCATTGGTGGTGGAGGGGTTTCATGCACTTTTGGGTTCCGTGAGAAACTGTGTATTTCTTTATGACATGAGTGACATGTGTGGACTATGTAAAACGGCATTAGTCCGAACTCAGTGTGGAAACCAAAATATGTTTCATAATGATCACAGACATGCCGCTATGAAAGTCTGGTGTCTTGTCAGTTTACCTTGGATTGGCAGTCTGTTAAGAGAACTTGCTTGGAACGATTTGAGATACCGGGTCCTAACGCTTTCCAATATCCCGAACTCCATTAGACAGGCCAGAAGAAGTGAAGAACGAGATGTATCATCCTTTGACGGGATAAAAGTGTGTGTACTTGTGACACTCTTAGAAACGATCGATAAGTGGAATAGGAGCAGTGTGCATTTAAATACGACACGATAATTATTTGAAATCGTACTAGCATACTAGAAACTGTGAACATTTCTGATTACACAGAACAATTTGTACCAGATTTTGATCGCGTAACTTCTGCAAAATGTAACTAATTCTGGGTGTGGTTTCAGGTTCTCAGGGTGGCGAGTATTAAAATGGCTGTCTTCTGGGATGCTGCACCGATTTAGAGGTACCTGCCGCATCCATCATCAGGGCGATAAGTAATCATGTTCTACCTAATTATGATGAATATTAATCCTGTGGCCTTAAGACCAAAAGTCCAGACTGTAATATATCTACGAAATTTTATAGTATTTCTGTTAAATTCCTTCATTTGCATGTTATATTATGTTTCGGTTTAATATACAAGTGCTTTTTTTCATAACGTAAAATTATCTCAAGGAAACCTACGATATCCGAAAATTCTACCTCAGACCTAAATTTCCTCTATCGAAGTTAGTATAACATGGTTGTTGAATTTATACGCTAGACTAAAACTCCAGCGACCTCCGAGGTATACTGTCCAGACAGCACACGAAATATCTGGCATCTCTTCGAATTTAAGTTTCCTTGTTCGATGTCTTTCTATTTTAAGGTACATTATGTTCATAGGGAATCTTGAATTTACGAACTGCGTCATTGCTTCTTTCAGTTTTAACGTAAATATTTCCCCAAGACCAAGTGGTGCAGTTATATATGGCGGACTTTTATAATGTGCTCCTGTCTTGAAAGATTTATAAACCTAGTCATTTAGTATGCCAGTATCATCAGATAGATTATCATCGCCCTCGCACTTCTGAAATATCTGTAAACTTCTACGAGACTACATGGCGTAATAACCCAGAAAACGGCCACTTTATACAGGCTGAAATCTCTCTGATCATGTTTGATTAAATTTAATTTTGGCCGTTTCGGTGAAAATATAAACCGCACGTGAAGCCCATATAAAACTGTATGTTGCACATTTCCTAAGAATCGAAACATGCAAAATATGTTGGACCAAGCGGCTTGAAATCGAAATAAGTATAGTAGAAGTGGTGTTCACATAACCGCCGTTAGTGAAATGGATAAGTATCCAGACACGTTTTGTTTATTTATGCATATACAGGTGCCACAGATCGGGGTTCGATCCCCGACGGGGGCAGAGGATTTTTTTTCTCTCTCTCTCTAGCCTCTGCGTCCAAACCGGCTCTGGGGCCCACCCAGCCTCCTGTCCAATGGGTACCGGGGTCCTTTCCCTGGGGTAAAGCACGGCCAGGGCGTGATGCTGACCACTCACCCCCATCTAGTGCCGAGGTCAAGAATGAGTAGGAGGTATACCTCCGCTCCACCCAAGTACCTGCATTGGCATGTAGAGGGACGCTTTACTTACTTTACAGGTACCACAATGATAGTTCCGTTCCAGTCTCGTTCGCTAACACACCAGGTGGTCTATGAACATAGATTATATCAGGAGCCACGTTTGTAAAATTAATCACTATTGTGTTGTAAATGGGGAAAGATTAAGTTGGATAATAGTTAACCTTATACCGACTGAGCCCATAGTAGACGCATGCCCAACAGATCGTTTTGTAGTTGTTTCACTGCTGCAGCGGATAGATGGCAGGGCAACACGCGCGTGACATCATTCGTCGCCTATGTTGCCAACCTAGATAAGTTGATATGATACGTGGTAGGATATAAACATGTTGGTATTGTGTGTGATATAAAGTGTTCACTATGTTGGTATTATCTGTGGTGTAGAATATTAATCTGTGTAGACGTATATTGTATGCTTGTCTTTTGATACGCAACAGCAACAGTAGTTTCAGTTACTCGTCAGTTTGTACGGGCTCCTTATGCTGTATTCCTCTCTGGATGACATGATCAGTTTCTTTTGATCAGCAGATTGTTACAGAGCTCAGGACAAAGCAGGGTTCATAACTAAAATCGTGTTTCTGAAAGTTAATGAAATAACTAGAACGGTGGAAAACAATAAAAGGAATTCAAGGTCACACGTCAAGCTGTATTGCGAAATCCTTTATTAAAAGAGATAGACCAAAGGCACCAGCTGTAATTAAAGGTCCTTTAGGCCTTAAATTTCATTCGTTACAGAACGCTATCGTGATTGTCGACTGGAAAAGGTGTTATTCCTCAGAACGAAAACCATGAGGAGGCTCGAGTTCTTCAAGCTTTGTTCGAATTCATCAGAAACAATCCCCCAGAAAAAGTAAGACCGCGTGGTGCACAAAATGAACAAATAATACTGACAGGAGTGAATACGTTTTTTAAGTGTGTCTTTATACGTATTTTCAGGTAGAGTAATAAAGGGAAACTTACTTGAGTAATAATTTCAAGGAATGATTTCACTTATTACCCGTTTAATGTACTTTATGTTTTAAGAAGATGGCTATTCTTTTGGCTTATACCGCCGTGTAGTCTGGCAGAAGTTTATCAACGTTTAATTGTCCTGATGATGGAGGCAGCAAGGACCTCTGAAGCATAGCAAACTTCTATCAGACTACACGTCGGTATAAGCCAGAAGACAGCCATCTTCGTACTCACAACCGTGAAAAAAATCAAATCCTACCTTGTATTTTATTTCTCTGAGATTCACAGCCACCCTGAGTCTCTGCAGCAGTATGAATGCACCTTAAGGCTATCATCAGAAGAATGGTTTAGGAAGTATAAAAGTTTGGTAGAGGCCAAAATGTAGTGCAAGGTCCAGCTCACCACGATCGTGCACTGCAGTGGTGTGACGCTGGGCAGAAACGATGCTGACGTCGCACGTCTTCTGGTGAGCCTTGACGCCTTCACGAACATCGCGGTAACCACAGTCACAGCTGACAAGCAAAGACAGTTCCGCCATGCTCGCGATTTTCTCTCAACTCATGCGAGCACGATCGACGAACCTAGAATCAGTATAAGAACGTATGTAAAATGCAATAATGTGATCTCGTACTACACAAATTTGCGAAGTCCCATTGCTTTCAAAATGAAAACAAATTTATTCTGATCTATATTTTAGTTAGTTTTAAAGATCGCTTTCTCTAAGGGCCCTATGCATCTTACAGGAAGGGCGGATATGATTTCGCTCTTAATACGTCTCTGGTGTGAACAATATAATTTAATTAATAAGCAGGAGTAATTCAGTTACACTGACTGCATTCTTCCATTCTATAGGTTAATATTGTAAGTTAAATTCACAAGAAAATGAACAATGGTAACGGAAGTATTGAAATACGTATTACTAGTTACACTAGTGGCTAACAGTAAGATGTATGTAGTCTAAAAGTACGCAAAAGCAAATATCTATTTTTCCTGCATATATTTTGGGTTATGGTGAGATGAGTAGAATCATCACTTGCTGAAGAATCAATATTTCTAGCTCCTTCCACATTTTCATAGCGCCCTTTCTTCAATGAGTCATTTTATCTCGGGTGAAGCCCAGCTCAGATGCCCATTGATTTGGCAAATTAACGCCTGCTTTGTCAAATTAAAACTCACCTTCTTGCTTCTTCGAAAACACTGACTTTCTTTCCACGGCTTGTACGTTCCAATTACCAGGGAAAACTGTGTAATCAATAGGCTATGCGTACAGTTTTGAGTCAGAAAATCAACATTGAAACACAGAATTGCTTTGTAAAATTTAACTCTTATCTACACATCGTGATATAAACTGGATCTTTCGCTTTGGTCCACTTAGCAAGGATTATTATTAACTTGTATAAAACACTGCGCGAATAAAATTCCATGCCACTTATGGATAATGAAGATTAATTACCGTGCTCACAAAAGCATGGCCAGTTTAATCAAGTCCACAACCTCGTTTAATATATTTCAAGATCCATTTCAGTGTATTCGGTTCGAAGTTTTCATGACGACGAAAAATTGTTTTGATTTCCTGAGTTTTCACACCGTGTATTCCTGTTAATGGGCATTACTGCTTAGGAGAAACCTGCAGCCTCTATATTCAGGGTGAAAATTGGCAACACTGGGATGCGGATGGGTTATGTTGGAAAGTTCCAAAATTAAGATTGCATGGGGGCAGACTCTCCATGTCTCTGTATGACGTGATTCGTCGGAAAATGTGTGAATTTAGAATAGAAAAGGAAATCAAAAGGAAAAACATGTTTTGTTATGTGTAAGTTATGTAACTTACGTTCGTAAAATCCATATTGCGCAAATGTTGCATAGGTAAGGGTTGAATGAAGTTTAATTTGTATTTTAACGTTTATCCTATTTATGAACCTGAGCCTAAAATTTTGATCTTAGGTTAAAAACTTGTGTGCAGACTATACAGGACCGAAGCATATATTTTCATTTCAACGAGAGAACGAATATTATTCCATCTATTCTCCATTTTACAGGGTACTTACTTCTATGTACCTGAGACAAATCTTGCCCCTGAGGTACATAGTGTTACATGCATTAAAGACATTTCGCGTGAGGCATTATATATTTTACATGAGCGTCTTTCGGATGATGTATGATGTCCTAGAATGGCGGTTTTCAGAAGTTCCCTAATGTCGTGTTCGCCTGGGATGATATTATTATTACTATGTATTGTCCTATTTTTTATCTTTGTGTTTAATTTTCTTGTGCTGACTCTGTAATGAGCTCATGTAGCTGTTGAATTAACACGTTGCAGAAAATAACTTTATCAAATTTAATTATTCAACAGTCCCCCTGGGGCTGTTTCGATCCAGAACTAATTCAGAAACAACGAATTCTTGGAACATTAGCTAGGATCACTTGCAGTAGGAATCTGCACATAGCAAGTTCTCCATACACATGACAAAGTAACACAGTTGATCGGGAAGACGTATTAGTGCCACCGAGCGGGTTCGAACTCGTGATCCCAGTGCTCGAGCGATATAAAACGTGCGATATTTTGATCACGTAGTCATTGAGAGATTTGAACTTCGTAACAATTACAGTGTAACGACATATTACCCAAAAGAAGCCTCTGGAACTTAGTTCGAATAAAAAAGAGACATAAAACCACACTTAACACCAAAAAAAACACAATTTTCTTCATAAGTTCTTGGTGATGACCAAGCAGAGGAGCAGCTCCTAGCTACTCTTTCTTTTTGTCGTAGTTCCGCAAGGTTAAACTTGTTTCCACGTGTATAAAACGCCTATCATCCTCACTTGGTACAAACTCCTTCATACAGAGTATTTATGCAAGATGTCTTATTTTTATAGTGTACGATAATGATAAGGTGTACTCCACCGGAGTAGACATACACTTACGTCATTCGATTCTTGCTATCTTTCATGCCGAATCGAATTTGAAGTTCATTCAGTGCAGATACAATTCTGTTGTTGCAAAGTTAATTACACTACAGAAATCGTAATATACAGCCAGAAATTACATTTATAATTTGTTAAATAACTCCTCGGTGAAGAATCTTTTTTGAAAGGATTATTGTCGCTCAGCTGATGGGTAATTTACCAGAATTTTAGAGCTTGAAGGCTGATATCCATATTCGTAAGATTCCACTACTGAACCCTGTCCTCAGACAGATGAATCAGTTTTTCACCTTCACGTCCTGTTTTCCTAAGAACCATCTAAAATTATATTTCCGTGTACACCGAAGTCTCTCATGCGGTTTCTTCCCTTTAAGTCTTTCAATGGAACTTCATGAATTTCTCATTTCTGTCATGCGTGTTAGATGTTCCGCCCGTATCACCTTCCTTTGATTTCACGAACCTAGTAGTTTGGTGAATAGTATTAATTACAAAATTCCTTCGTTGTATAGTCTTCTTCATCGTCCTGCTTCTTTCTCTTTCACAGGTCTAAATATTTCCCACGACACGTTGTTAACTAATGCCTTAAATACATATTATTCCCTCAGGGCTAGAGACCCAGTTTCACAGTCATACCAGACAAGGAGTAAAATTGGGCCCATAATTTTTTTTATTTAAATCGTGTTTTGGAGTAGGAGATGATAAAATAATATTTCGTTATTTGTATACCTCGCTTATTGAAAAAATATCTTGAATGCAGTTGTAAAGCTTAATGACCTTTTCGTTTTATGTCTCTCACAATAATGTAATTTCGAATTTTATTTAAAAAGGAGACGGCTGAGAATTGTTCACTAGCTAAGCGACTGTTAGCTTGTCAAGAAAATCTTCTGAAATTAGATTTGTTCCACATATAAGAAAGATTGGGGTCCGCAGTGGCCGCGCGGTCTGTTTCTGTGTTGTGCTGTCCTGTGTACAGGTAGAGGCCTTGCGACGGGCCGATCCCTCGTCCAAGGAGTCCTACCGAATGTCTATAGATCAAGCCAACGAAAAGTTGGGACCCGCAGTGCTCAGGCACTTGAAGAACGGGTCGTTCCCAGTATCCCAGTATAAGAAAGATTAGAATGTTACTTCTGAATTAAATTTGTCTTCTCTATTCATCGTTTCATCCATCTATCACTTTTGTGCTTTAAACGTTGCAGTCATCCTGACCACAGTCAGTAATCTAAATAAATGTAATCTGCCCAGTCGTTTCCTTGAATTCGTTACAGTGGCTAATTTTGGGCTAACTGACTGGCAGAAAGTTATGTGATCACACCAACATCAGGATCAAGGACAGGTTAATCTGTGCCAAGTTATGTAAACTTTTGTAATTCAGTGGAATTTTTTACGAAATGTTTCAGCCAAACATCTGCGCAAAACATCCATTTAGAACACAGATGCTTGTACTACGAAGCAGGACCTAACAACAAGTCGAGATTCTAGTTTTCGTAAAATTTACTCTATACGCTATCAGACCAGTTATTACCCTGATGACAGCAGTAGTAAACTCCTCTGAAACGTCGGTTATCTACCAGACCATGCTGTGCAATGTTACAGAATAAAACCACCGTTCAAACTCGTCACGGTGAGAACGTCAAATCTCAGGTAATATGTATTTATTATTTTATTCCTAATATTTCTCTTTCTTCCCTCCTGCATTTTTTCACTGCTTTCTCTTTTCCTATTATATTTCCTCTTATCTCTTTTTACTAATAGACGCCATTAAACGCAATGAAACTTCAAAATAGGAGAACAGCTCAGCAGTAACATTAACGAGGTACATACATAATTCAAATGTGGGTCTGGTCTCTGATTATTTTTCTGCTATTTTGTCTCATTATCTGCAGACGAATACGTGGATACACTGGAATATGACAGATCATCTCCTTCTAAACTGTTACCTACTTATCTTTCACCATCTTATTCTACTTTTGTACAAGCCTATCAATTCATACAGCGTCATTCAATTAAGACTCAGTATCACCCTTCATTAATCTTAATTGTATGCGTTTTATTGTATGTGTTTTCTGTACCAGCGACAGGAACAAATGTTATGAGCTCAATATATATATATTTGGAATGAATAGCATTCTTTCCACCTGCGACGGTCTGTAATTAATACACTGAAATAAGTGGCTTTTCTTTGCTAGCAACTCAGTCATGAAACAGTAACTCTGTTCAATGAATAGCGCTTACCGACCCAACATATCGTGAGAGATGAACTGTATAGAACGTATTTCTCTACGTGCGTGAAAACACAATTCCATGTATGGTAACTCATTTCGTTAAGAATTTGTTTGCAATCTTTAGTCATCTTTAAGGTATGTTTATTCCATGGCTTCGAAGTCTTCCAAATTTGTACAGTCTTCAGAATCTCATGACAAACAACTGTTTTATATTACATAATGGGAGAATTCTGAGAATAAATATTAACACTACGTTACATTGAGATGAGTCAATGTGGCGAAGTTAAAATTCACGTACACATATTTCAGTGTCATTTGTATAGAGGCCCCTTTTAGATAACATTGAAGTTCAGTGCTTCAGTACATTTCGTAGAAACTAAGAACTCTAAGAGAAATCAAGAGTATTTTAATTAATTTCACTGAATTGTTCAATGCAGTCTTTAAAGTTTTACATAACCCATTGTCCTTGATGCTAATTTATTGAAAATTTACACCATGGATACCGCAATCAGTAAAGAATATTTTGAGTGGCTGAGCGACTGTTAGCTTCTCAAAAAGGACTCAGTTCCATTAAGTAAGTGAGGAATTAATATATGCTAACTCTGTTGTTAGCAACTATAAGAGGAAAGCACCAATCAGTATATGTACAAATTACTTCGTAAATATTATATATATGCCATATCTTACTAATCACAGGCTTAGGGTATTTTCCAGTTAGTTGGTAAACAATGTTGTTTGTTAAAAGAGACATTGAGCCGACCTGAATAGGACGTTTATAATACATGAAACTTTTATAACGTACTCCATGATATATGTATATATGCTAAAAAAACTATATTATCATCCACACCGCCGTGAAAATAACAAATCTCACATTGGCATATCTTTTATGTGACAGGTTTTGTTGCTAATAAACTAAAAATAATCACTGATCATTGCGAGAAGCTTGAGATTTGTACTCACAAAATATTATTTGCGTGGTTAAATCAAGTAAAATAGTGTGTCACGAGCAACTGACAATTTTCATCGAAAAATGTTGATGTCTAAGTTTAGTTAGCAAACCTAGCAGTAGATGGGCGAAAATACAACTGTTAAGATGTAAATATCTTAAAGAAATAGTGTATGAAAATGTGAACTTAGTTCATCTGGCTCAGGAAATATTCCATTGGTGGTTCCTCTGATTAAGACAATGAATCTTCAGGTTCCATAACAAGCAGGGAAATTTAATGACTAGCTGAACGACTTTATTTTACCAAGAAGGACTCTGTTCTATTGAATTATTTTATCACTAATTAAGACTTACCCTTAACATTCAGATTTCGATACCTGTCAAATAAAATTCGTCTGGCAGCTTAGTTTGCAACTTCAGAAGGCATACAATCCTGTATAAACACACCTCACTGTTCACACGCTTATATCAGCTTACCCACGTCCAATAAGCTGTGTCACTTGACAAGACTATCTAGTTTTCAAGATGGTAATGTGCTTCTACGCGCGTCTTCTCGCCTCGGGCTCTTTCATTGGCCAGCTTCTGAAACGTCACTCTGTTAACGGCAGTTTTACTGCAGCGTAAATTTATTACGTCCTTGATCGTTCAGTCGTTTAACGATAAAAAAACGCGGAAATAAAAATGAATGCTCGTACCGGTCAGCATAGTAATGTAAACATTTAATGTCATCTGATCATTCCGCCCGAATGAATTATTAATAGATCTAATTGCATTTTTAAAGTTTAGTAGACTACGGAATATTTATCGCCATGCTCTTCTGCTAGAAGCTATTTTAAAATTGTTCCATCTGCCCCCCCCCCCGAATAAATGTAGGCCTAACTGCTCACCTCTGCATTAAACCAAACTGAAGTACGAGATATATAATCAAATAAAATTCTGTAAACAGGGTCTCTTAATAGCCAATTATGAATTGTTCTTGTTGGAATGTTTAATCATTTACGTAGCCCAAGTTTAAGCCGGTAAGGAGTGTGTGTGTATCCCTCCCTATGAATTTTGAACCAACTAGCGGATATTTATGAAACTCAGTGTGAAAATCATGCCAACCCTGCACTTTCTAATATCCCTCCATCAATAATACCAACATAAGAGGTGCGAAGTTCTGAGGGATCCTGAAATTAGGAATACATATGAAAATTTATCTTAAGAAAACATACAACTATTAGTCATTTTCTTATTGCATGTGAAACAACCTTGTGGCTTCGCGATATTAATATTCAGTTTTAGACTTTACGGTGATAACGTCGATAATTTCAGTTAGTAAAATTTTGTATGCGTAAGTGTGCACACTTTTGTTTCGTTACAAACTTAGTGACTGGAAGACCTTGGAGTTCTTATCGGGCAAATTACAGTAGCCGGAATATACAGCCTGATAGTGGTATTCGTTAATAGAAGAGTGTCACTAATTTGTTGGGCTACAATGGCTTTCTTCCACATCCCTTACAATCCATTATTCAATAATTATCTTATCATTTGACGCTACATAATCTTAGCCATTGAATAGATCGTTAAATACACCATAAATTAATTTTTACTTATTGTTACAGTCTTTACGACTTTGATTGCAGCTTTTGAAGAAAGTATCGATAGGTCGTTAAAGACCGTCTCTCTCGTTATAGGCCTACTTTCACTCCAACTTAATGACTGTCTCGTGTAGCCAAGTCACAATAACCTGTCAGGTCCCGCGACTGAGGTACTTATTACTTCATACTGTCATTTAAAACACAGAAAGAAATATGTATGCATAACGCTACAATCCTTGTCGCTATGTTATTGCCCCTAGAACAGGGGTTTTTAACCCGCTGTCTGCGGGCCGCATACGGCCTTCCGTTATGTTTTGTGTGGCACACGAACATTTTTTTTAAACTTAATGTCTTATCTGTGTGATGAAAAATAAAAAGCCTTATTAATGTAATCAGTTTTGGACTGTGAGAAAGTGTTCAGATTAATGAAGAACATAAAAAAGTAGGATGCGTCTTACTGATGAACACTAGAAGAGTTGCATGCGAATCTTGGAGATGGAAATTAAACCGGGAACAGAAATATTATTTGAGAAAAATCAGAGTCATATGTCTCACCTGTGGCTGATTTTGTTGAACAAATTTATTGTGATGTATGAATTGATTCGTGTTCATGTACAAAATATGAGTGTAGCCTTCATTAAAGTGCCCAGTATTGTTAGATTTTAGCCAAAATTGTTATGTACTTATACGTTTAAGTAAAACACACTATTATGAAATTTAACGAGAATCAGTTTAGCGGCTCTCGAGTTCAACATAAATGGTGCATTTAATAAGTAAATTTTATCACTTCTGTTGCAGACGCTCCAAACATGAAGTAATGTATCTTTTTCATTAAACCAATTGAACTTTATCTTAATTTTATAATGAAATAACGTCTGTTTGTGTTTATGGGAAACGAAACAAATTGCTGTAAAATAATTTAACATTTTGAGCTGAAATAACTTTATTTCGTTTGGACAGTGAGGTGAAGTGAAGGGAGGTAAATTTGGGTGAGGATGGGAAGGCTTCATAAGTGTAGAGAAGGTCCTGATGAAATGTGAGTGCATCAGTTCATGACGTATGTAATTCATTACTGTTACTGTCTTATGTCTAGTTGGTATTAATTTTTAAGTTATATACTTTAGGTTATATGGTTTTGTAATCTTATGAGTTGTTTTGTTGTGTCTTATTGTTTTTGTTGTGTCTTATGTTCTGTTGTGTCTTATTGTTTTGTGTCTTATTGTAGGACCACTACCACCGGGTAAAAACCCATTTGCAGTCAAAAACAAATAATAATAATAATAAATAATTTTAGAAAGGCGAATTAAAGTCTTTGAGGATTATAAAATAATTACTAAGAATCTCATCATACAACACAAAAGGTTTTACAATTGAATAAAATTTTTATTGGATATTATCCATCGTCTAGTAAATATAAAACGTAAAAACGACGTTTCGGAGATGGGACTCTATCTCCGTCTTCAGGTTCCTACACAGTTGGGATTAGCTCTATCTAGTGGGCCCAACTGTGTAGGAACCTGAAGACGGAGATAGAGTCCCATCTCCGAAACGTCGTTTTTACGTTTTATATTTACTAGACGATGGATAATATCCAAGAAAATTTTTATTCAATTGACTCTTCACCATCGTCAAGAAGTTTTAGATTTGAAGTTTTACAATCTATCTAAATTACACAACAAGGACATTTAAATTATTCAGTTAGAAATCTGATTAAATTTGCAACGATTGGACCCATGGGATTAGGGAGATGTTCATCCTTTACAGACTCTTCATCGTGGATCCAGCCTTGAACAAACATGGTGAATGAGGATTCATGCAGTGATGGAGGCGAGTGGCGTAACACCTGAAGGACACAGTACATTCGTATGCAGTGCATTGCCTCTTCGCAGTCCTTTTGAAAAGAACTTTATTGAAACGTTCGGTATGTGACCTCTAACTGTATACAATTAAGTCAGGTATGCGAGAGCCTTGTTTCTTACGACGACAGTAAATATTTATGACAACGTAGTGTCAACTCTTCAAACACACGTGAAGCACATGAATTACTTCCGTTTAAACAAATATACGAACATTTTACGCTTTAGATCTAGCACATGTAAACGAAAATCAAGCACTTTAGAACTCAGACCGGAAGTAACATAGGCGTACAGCTGTAGTAATTATTTCATTCATTCGTAATCTTCTTTTATTTATCCGTATGTGGCTTTTCTCTGTCTATTACTGATTGCAACTATTTGTGTCAGATGTCTGTTAAGGAAGCATACCAATATGTCTGCCAAATTTGAAGAATAACTAAATTAATTTAATTACTTTTAGATCCGTGTCAATAGGTTCGACAGCAAATCGAAGGTGAACACTATATTTTGCTTGGACGTCTGTATCCGATTCTTGACCAATCATTAGTGTAGCACATTATCATTGATGCAAACACATTGCACGATAAACGTCATTCAAGACAACCGGAAACAGCACTAAGATATTGGATTTATCTCCGCCCTCATGAGCCTCGATAATCTTGTCAGTAAGATAAAATATTGAAGATTGAGACTGCATATCTCAGCCACATGCCTAGGCCAAAGTCCATACATACGTGGGTAGTACTGAAATTTGTAAAGTTCGATCACTTTAATAGCTACTTAAAACTGAAGAGCCAAAATGTACTTGTACGTAGTCCTGCATACTTTTTAATCCCTTGGTATATTTTGACGGAAATTTATGTAGGATATCACTTGCGTGTATACTAGCTTCATTCAGATTAATTAATTTTAAGCGATAACTTAAGTGAAATGTCCCTAATACAGAAGTGTTCATTTAGGCCTGTTTTCGTATGAATCCCTTTTACAGATTTATGCGTAACTTGGTTCGTGACACTAATGACCTGTAAAACAAATGTTATCGTATGTAGGTCTACTTACTAATCGATACTTGTTTACACTTGAGGAAAACAATTTCCTGAATAATGAACTCCCATGGTTTTGTCACGCACACTGAACATTTTCGTGTAATTATTTACAAATCTGTACATCAAAACCTTCAGATTCAGTTTAAAATCTGTAAATGTTACGGAATGCTTTAAATAAGCCCAGGTGTGTCTCTGAACAAAGTAAATAGGCCTGCAGTTAGGTAAAAGATGTTTCAGTAGTAATATTATATTGTTTCCTTGAATAAGTTTGTAACATAATTTATCTTCTTCATATCACTCAGCTTCATTTTGAAACGATTTAATGAATTGTTGTAAACTTGTACTTGTTTAAATCACATAGACCTTCCGTTTGGAAAGCATTGCTTTTCCAATTCAGAATTTTGTTTATTTTGATAATGAACTTGCATATGATACGAGCAGACAGAAACTAAATTTTGGTGTATTATTTTGCCACACATTTTTCTATGCTTTGAAGTTGTAGATTATTGTCAGCTATGATCAAGTAGAACTGGTACACGAATTATTAAATTACTTGTAATAAAATTACTATTACATTCATACCATCATCACCGTCGTCATAGTTATAATCATCACTTTGTTTGGCAGGTGATTTATAAATTATTTAGCAGGATGTTGGAGAAAGTTGTCTCCAGGACTTGCTTGTAAGACTTTGAATCATAACCTAACTTGTTATACCACTTTGCGGTGTTTCTAATCCATCATTTTGAATTCAAGGGCATTTATATACGTTTGAAAATAATTCAGTGTGATAACAGCGGTGATATCTTGTTTAATCCTATATTCTTATCGGAATGTTTTGTTGATTTATTGTTAAAATATTTCCGTAACGATATTTTGATAAATCTTCATACTTTGCTTTTTTAAAATATCCTAAATATTTTTACTATTAATAATATATTCCTCTGTGATTCTTTCTTCGTTGATCGTTGTTTTAAAATGTCAAATATTCTACTAATTCTAATGTTTAATACAACAAATTATATTAATGTAAAGCATTAATAATAACCAGAACACAAGTCACGCGTACATTAACACATAGTTCAAAATAACACACTATTTTAGTGCGATTTGGTATAAGTGTGAAGCCACGTTTAAAATGTTAAGGAAGACTTTCGGCAGCCGCATTCGAACCTCACACAAACAACTGACACTCCAAGCGGCTTTTTGGGTGCGCCTTAATTATTTAAAATCAGTAGAGTAAAGATGCATTTCACGGAGAAGGGGCCATTTAAAGTCTGTGCACATAAAGGGAAAGTAGAAACTAGTATATGCGTAGCTTGTGCCACATTATACTCTAAAACGTATTGATAATGTCTCATTGTTCGCATACACGAACAGTAAGTGATGTTGATCTTCTGTGTTGTGACGCTGTGTGGATTCGTAGGTAGAAACCAGAACTTCATCTCTGAAGATGGAGCCAGTGTTCATGCAAAACGAAGGTATCTACATGCGAATACACCTGGTTTCAGACCCCAGAAAAAGAACTTCTTCATTTTTATCACTTTCAGAACCTCAAAACTCAAATACGACGTGGTTTTGCTAGAAATATTTTATGACTAGTCTTAGCTGAATCCGCATAATTAAATTATCTGTATATAGTTTCGTAGTTCATAATGTTATGCAATTTTTTATGGATATATTACCAGCTTCTTTTACTAACTGTTTGTTTGCCAGTATTTACATCACCAGTCGCGTTTAAGCCCAAAACGCAATATTCAGTGGTACCTTGTTTATATATTTGATTCAGAAAAAAAATACACTAATTTAGATCACTGAGTTAACATAAACAACGCATTTATTACGAAATACTGAATGAGTTGCGTAAGACGTTAAAATTTATTTAAAACATGTTGAAGATAGTATTATTTATACATTACACAACTACTATAAGTATTATAACTTCACATTTCAATATTCCTCGACTTAATTTGTCTCATTTGCATTTTAGTTTTTTTGTTGCGACATCAACGTTGCTTTATATTACTTTGACTTTACGTATGGTACGTATCATTCACAGTTTACTTACAATTCGTGTGAATTATCACTGCTTACTGTATACGTAGTTATCGCTGTTTTCAAGAAACAATTTGTGTATAACCTTGTTTTTACTTTCTTAATCTTAAAGTAGCCGCACTGGCGAAACGTTCTGTCTTGTAAGTATAGCTCCTCCGTATGTAAAGTATAATAGTATTTTCAATGGCTTTTAAAGGAATTTTAACATTTCAGTCTCTCTTAATAATGACGTTTATTTTGATATAATTATCAGTTTTCTTGAATCAAGTACAAATAATGTTCCACTGATGATTGCCCTGTAGGAATGAAACTTTTCTGATGCAAATACAAGCCAGAAAATAATAAGTACAAATATTTGGTTTTTATAATATTTTAACACACTACTGTTCCATGGTGTGAAGAGTTTTTTGTTTCTGAATTATTTGTTTTCTTCGCATTTTTACATTGTTTAAATTACAAATAAAATTCAAAAAGTTCAGGAAGTTGGGTTCTGCTTCCGTCTTCAGCTTTTAAGTGTATTGTGGGCTTAAGCCTCTTTCATCCTTGGAATCCTGCCGTTTGGCTATGAGTGGAATCGTAGAGATCAGAGACAGGTGAATAAAATAAATAATTATTAGGTGAAATAATGACGTAAAATTAATTTGAGTTCCCAAAGTAATAAACATTAACTGAAAGAAAACCTGTCTCAGAAAGAGAGAGTGAAGGTAAAACAATAAAAAAAGATAAAGTAGGTTAAAAGGGCAGCTGGAGATATGGAGGACACGAAGTATGCTGTGGCCAGGTATTTTCACTTTCTAATGATCTTCCCTACCTGCACGTTCAGAATATTCTTGCAGGAAGTGTTTGACTGTTTAGCAGTGAATTCATTGTTTCGTGTGCCTCTACGGATGACCGTACATTTCAGAAATGAAACTTTCCTTCAGAGATCTTCACACGAGCTGCAGAAACCGTACTTCAAATCCAACAAACTGAAGACAAGGATACCTACGAAGCCTTGAAATTGTCACAAGACAGACAAATCCTGAAACACTCGGTGAGTTGATTGAAAATATTTTTGTAATTCATTCATTAATCTTACACCACAACGATTCTAAAGTTATATTGACACTTCATAAGATATAGTCATAATTATATGCAATTTTAAGTATAGATTTATATTAAAAGGCGTTTGAGGTTAACTTTTACTGTTACCGCGCGGTCATATATGCAGTTCTTGATGCCCAAAACATTGAAATCCTGTGTTGGAATCTCACTGTCAGCATTAATTTATGTCAACGTTGTCCTGTGTTATACTGGCCTGTGTAGGCAAAGGCCTTGCGTCTGGATGGCCACATACAAGGACCCCGTCCGCGAAAACCTACAAGAAGCAGCTCATCTTTCTCGCGATTTACGAACTTTGGTCTTATGAATTTTCGTTACAACGTACCATGTACATTTATACTATTTTTCATTTTACTAATATTATTTCCACCATAACAAAGAACCCTGTGCCACAGGTGACTTCCGAGGTATCCAGTCACATCAGAACCATAATGATGGGGAGAGGGTTGGTTCCCGAAACGTCGGTTTACTACCATAACCAGTTGACGCTGCCGATTGCCCGAGAAGATTTTATTGATTGTATTCGCCTCTAAAGTCTCAAATCCTATATTTCCAGGAAGAACATTTCATTGTAATTTTTCTGCAGTATCTGGACAATGGCATATCCCGGATCGACGTCAGATGCACTGCAGAAAGTAGTGGGAGGCTTCGGTCGTTGGCAGGCCGGTGTTAGCATTCTGATGGCATTGCTGAAGCTGCCAATAGCCTGGTTTCAGCTCGGCATCATTGTCCTGGAGGCACGTACTGACTTCTGGTGTGCCAGACCCCATGGTCTGTATCGTAATTTTACCGTGGAGGAATGGAGAAATCTCAGTCATCCTCGCCTGGGAAAGGTAAGTCACTTTAAAACAACAATCCGAGAATTATAAGGAATGGAAAAAACATTAACACATGCTGTTCTGCTTGTTTCAGATCTCGTGTAATCCGGTTCGCTCATTTTATTTATCTGATTGTACTTCCTGCTTTATTTGACGTGTTTACAGGGTGGTTATGACGCATGCAGGATATACGACCTCAACTACACGATAGATATAGTGCAAGATGTAGCCGAAGGGAGCAGTACTGTCGCGTGCCAGAACTGGGAATACAGCAGGGACATATTCAAGGAAAACATTGTAACAGAGGTCAGTTCAAACTTTTTGTACCACGATCTATTAATTCGACTAATAAAATACATTCCCGCTTCTTTCCTGAACGATACCATTTAAATCGTAATAGAAGAAAAATAACAATTAAGGGGAAAAAATTTACTTAGTGGTGCTACCTACCCCGAGCCAACCCAAATATTAAATTTTACGAAAACCCGTTCAGTTGTATCCATGAAACATGCGGACAGGGTCGTCTGACGTGTTCCCTTGTTGCAGTGGGACCTAGTCTGCGGTCGATCCGTGTTGGTAGACGTAGCACAAGCGACTTTCATGGCTGGAGTTCTGTTGGGCAACGTTGTGTTTGGCATTGTTGCTGACAGGTGGGTGTAACACAACCTGTTCTCACCAAATGATTTCTGTGCAGATGTCACTGCCCTTCGCCGCACCGCAGGACGCTAAGCAATCATACCGTTGCTCTGCTTATAGTTATAGCGACTCATCTGATTGGCTCTATTTTAAATCAATTACATTCACGACAAAGTCCATAATTTTGCGTGAAAGTTAATTTAATTTATTTACCTACTACAAGCGTTCATAAACCAATTAATATACAACAAATAAGTCAAAGTAGAAAAAATCACATTTTGGAAGGTGGCTCTGCTTTCGTCATCGAGTGAAAGTATAAAAACGAATCTCTGCTGGTTCCGTTAGATAAAGTTGATTTCGATCCGTGTACCTGGGACCCAACCATTTACACTTTCACCTGATCACAGAAGCAGAACCAGCTTCCAAAACTACTTTTTTGAAAGAAACCTTTAGAGTAAGAGATGGAGGGAGTTGGAAGACTGTGAAGAATATTCGAACCTGAGAGGAAGAGAATGAAACGCAGAGCTTCGTAATTTTTGTTTGCCCTAATTTCATTAGTTAGTGTGATCAAATAAAATATGAAGGTTAGGACGAGATATGGAAAAGAATTTCAGTAGGAAAACCAGAAGTAAAGACCACATGAAAAACCTAAGTGCAAATGGATGAAAAATATTAACAAGGAATTTTAAAATATTCAGTGTGATGTGAACTTACCTCAAATGACTCAGGATGGCATCTGTAGTAAAATTTTGTGAAGACTTTAATTAATTTTCCGGGTCCATACAAGGATTGGAATTTCTTGTCCATGAGAGCAATTTTCAGCTTCTGTTTACCAAAAGACCGCGTCTGCTAGCTGATTTGAACGTTAAGGCCAAGGGTAATCTATGCAAAATTGGGACAGGACACCCATAGGAGTTTGAAGCAGGAACTTAATTTAGAAGCCTGCTGAGTTATATGGAGGTTTAGTTTCTATCTTAGTATTTATTACGATACGTCAGTTTGTTTATGATATTTGGTGGAATAATCACCATTTTTCTTAGAATAATACGAAATACATAAATACCTCTGTGGACAAAATGCAGAGTTATTAAATATTAGGGAAATAGTAGGCCTGCATATAATTTTCGTTCTTCTTTAAAGGGTTAAGTGGCCTAGGTTCACATTGTAGTACGTGAATTTCTGGAGGCCATCCATCTGTTGTAGAACCATTAGGGCTTTAGTGACACCTTGGCTTATTAATCTGTAATTAGATACTGACAGAACATTCGTGCAGTTTTTGAGTTTACATTCTATGGTTCAAGATCGGTAGTCATGGCCTCTTACATTAGTCACTCCAGAAAGGTAATGAGAAATGCAAATGTAAACAAAGGAAAGTCTATTTTTTGTACCCAAGCCTTTAATCGTGTTACTTCTTAGTATCCACTGGCCTTGCCGAGAGAGAAATAGAGAGTCCGGAAAAACAACGCAGTGAGCTCACATATCGATAGTGAACGGAGTTATGTCCGTTTAAACACTGTTTCAATCGTGTCTACAAAGTGATTAATTTCCCTAGCGTTTTTCGATCAAAATATTCAATCCGTTTCTAATTTCTACCATAGCTGTATGTTAACACAATCCATAGACGCCACAAGACACTGTGTAACGTGTGTTTGATGCCTCTGTTTTGCAGAATGGGTCGCAAACTGCCGCTCATAGTGGCAATTGCCCTGCAAGGCGCTGCTGGTGTCCTGTCAGCGCTCTCACCCTGGTTCAGCGGCTTCCTAGTGGCTCGTTTCCTCACGGCTTTGGCTACTGGAGGCACCATGATCATCAGCTTTGTTCTAGGTTCGCAGGCTTGCTTCGTATTTTCGTGCTAAATAGCATTTCCCAGCCGGTGGTCTGCGGATCTTTGCCATTCACGGCCGTTTTTAACCGGGACCAAACAGAACATGCCCAACTTTACTGGGTTGTGGATAGAAGGAATACAAATGCAAACAGAAAAAGTTATCGAGGAAATGAAACAGCGAGCTACAATGTATTGCCACCGGGAAATAATTTTTATTGTATGGTCAGTGTATGCTTTCTTATATTTTAACCTCCCACTACTCTGATCCCCACAGATTCGCCCTGAATACAGTAAGTATTACACCGGTTCGAAAATTCTAGTCATATTATGCTCCTTTTGAGACAGATGAAAAATTTGTTTTTCAAGTTGCGTTATCGTAGGATTTGAGATTCTCGCGGCGGTGAATACGAAGATGGCTGCCTTGCTCTTCCATTAATAGTCCCAGATGATGGAGGCAGCAAGGACCTCTGAAAACGTTGGTAAACTACACGGCGCTACAACCCAGAAGATAGTCGTCTTCGTTGCCGTGCTGAACATTTTGGCTACTACATTTTTCATATTCTTTGTTTGCGGTGTTAACTGTGGCTGGCCGTGTGTTGAGGATGGGGACACTGAATTTGGGGGTCTGTCGCTGTATCTTTCAGAAACAATGAGATGAAACACCATTAAAGTCTCTTTGAATCAAAAATATGCCTGATAAATGTAATGTTTTTATATGACCTCGTGGGTGATTATGGCGTCTCTTTGATTTTAACAACACGTTAAGTCAGGCATTATAATGCTAATAAACGTATGTCAAACAGGCTCGTATTATTTACATTTGTAGTCTGTTATTTGTACCTTGCAGAGTTCAGCCGACAGGAAAGGAAAACCGTTTCTCTGACACATATTAGTTATACACCAGCAGACGTGGCCATATTAAGAAACGTGGAATCTCATGTGTTTTGCTTTCTTAATCAGCAATCCATTAAAGTATTTTGCACAAATGCTGTCGGCATAACCTTATTCGTTCTGTTTGGAACAGGAATGCTCGTAGATAAATTCCAAGAAATATAGTATGGAACAAAATAATGTGAACAGAGTATGACAGGTTTCCACTCAATGAAACGGCAGTTCTATTTATCTTTCACAGTATAGAAAACATGAATTACGAAACAGTCGTTAATAACTACAAATAAGCCTCATTATACTTCATTAACTGAATTATTTCTCTCTTTCTTCTAGTCATGGAAATCGTCGGTGACAAATGGCGCACAACAATAGCAATTTTATATCAAATTCCATTCTCTCTGGGAATGTGTGTAATGACCGGGATTTCTTACATCCAGAGAGACTGGCGGGACTTTCAGTTCACTCTTTCAGCAATATCGATGGTATTCGTTGTCTACTGGTGGTGAGTATTAAAGGCTATGTACTTGTCGGCAGGCCTGTCTTAGCGACAGTTACAAACCGAAATTACACTTAGATACGAGCTAAGAGCATATTAAATTCGAGGATTAACAACTGTCATTTTATCTTCTCGTCTCGTGTTTTAAAATTTATTTGTTTCTTCTTTTTATTTAGGTGTGAAATTTGGTCGGTCACCGGAAGTAAAAAACACATTCAGTTTTGGAATTGGTCATAACCTCATAAAATTATTGTTATTCTACAGGGAATCCAATTTGTCCTTAGACCGGCCGGCTAGAAAACTGTTCACCCACGCATGTCCACTACTGACCGCCGAAACGTCTCTTTGTCTAAATGAAGTATAGTTTTGAACAGAAATTATTCATAGACGATACATTTGTTCAGCGTCCTTAATGTAGAAAATGCCTCAGGAAATTTCGTATGGAGCATCCTGACAGTATTGTGACAAAATTATGTTCTACGGGTTCGGTGCTGGACAAACAGAAATCTCGACACCAGAGCACAGAAAATCCTCATGTTGTTCATTAATTGGCATTGCATGATTTAAAAGTTGGGGTTTGGTGTTCAGTTAGTACGCGGAGGATAATTGGGTCCTTGTTTTTTTCACGAAACAATTCCGAACGTTATATGAGATTGACTCTATCACCCTTCTTCAATCAACTGACTGCTCAAGAAAAATTGTACTGGTATTTTATGCAAGATACAAACTGCATTCAATTCTGTGGTTGCCTTGCATGACGTCTTCTACGAAAAAGTTATAAGTCGAGGATTGTGGCCTTCGTTATCACCCGATTTAAATCCTTGTGACTTTTATTTGTGAGGCAGGCTGACATAAAAGTGTGTGTGAGCAAACCGCAATATTTAGAAGAACTTCAAGAAATTATTAGGCATTAAATATCCACTATTTCCGTACAGCAACTTCGACGTGTGTCTACTCTCACGATGACAGGTATGCGAAGAAGCAGTGTCGTCACTTCAATACTCTTCTATAAATAAAGGAAGTTAAACTACAACGTAAAAGTGGGCCTAGTTTAACGGTATATTGAACATGGGATTTGTCGCGGCGTTTGAACAGGTTCATCCCCGAGTCTCCGCGGTGGCTGTTGGCTGTGGGCAGAAAGAAGGAAGCCATCCGCATTATGGAAAGAGCTGCCCGATGGAACGGGCGAGACGTAGGTGTGGTCAAGGAAGTTCTGCAGAATCTCACATCCGAGCAGGAAGCTGTGAGCGCTGGCCGTAAGGCGACCCTGATCGACCTGATTCGTACACCGAACCTTCGTCGAAACTCTTTGTCTCTGTTCTTCAGCTGGTTCCTGGCAGGCCTCATCTTCTTTGGCTTCACACAGAGTCTGGGAAGGATTGGTGGGAACATCTTCGTTACCACAATCATAGCAGGTGAGTAAGACAGGATGCTTGGTCGGTCGTGATGTAGAGGAAAGACCATGGGTACAGCAAACAAGTCCCTGTGCAATTTTATATTAAATGAAACAAAATGCTAGATTGAATAAATTTCAGTCTGCATACGTTTTATCCAGCTGTAAAACCATCTGTAGAATTAATTTTTTATTATTATGACATTCGGAATTACAAACGTATCCTAGCTACGATATATGTGGTCAATCAATAGGCATTATACTCCTAGCAGACGATAATTCAGAATGGATATAAAATTATATTTCTGTTCAGATGTTTTGCCCACACTTGCCTTTGTTGGTTGCATTTTGGCTCCAACAGCAGATACTTACAGATCAATTATGAGATTCTTCATCCTAACCAAGAGAATTAATCCCTCGAAACTCAAAGAACTACTTTTCGTTAACTATTTATATACGTGGCCCAATAAAATAAATATTTATTGTGTTTTAATCAATATTGTTTGATGATTTGAAGTACATGTGAGTATATTGAACTTTCCAGGCATCATAGGTGTGCCTGGGACGTTGTTATGCATGTACGTAATTCGCTTCGGGCGGAAGAAAACCATCTGCATATCCCACATTGTTTCCGGAACTGCCTGTCTGCTGCTTGTAGCTGTTCCTACTGGTCAGTATCGCAGTCCGTAATACTGAATTTCCTATTATTAACTCCATACAATAAAAATATAATTGACATTTGATTTTATTTCTCTCTAAATCTGGGCTTTGCTATTATTCTTTTCAGGAATGTTTCCTGGGGACTGGCCACGTGTGCTCCTGTCAGCGATTTCACTCTCCGGAATGAGTCTGACCTTCCCAACCCTCTATGTTTTTTCTGGGGAAATCTTTCCTACCGTGGTCCGAAACGTCGGAGTCGGTTCGTCATCCATGTTCAGTCGTTTAGGATCTGTGCTCGCTCCATTCGTCAAGTCTCTGGTAAGTAACTGTGCACAGCAGATGACTGTCGATCCAGAATTCGACGAGGTATCTCGTCACTAACATGAGCATTTCCTCGGGTCAGATTTGTCGTCGCCCGTTCCACTGATGATCGTATCAGCCCGCTAATGAAATTTCGAGATAAGTGACTTATTTAATATACATATCTACTTCTTTATTGAAATACCTTATGCATGTTCCTATATTGGTTTACTTTACTGTGTAATTATGTAATTATATACTGAAGATATGTCCATTTTCTGTTGCTTACAACGTTCGGAATAATTCTGCAAGGCCAAGTGCTTGTAAAATTTTACTACAAACTAATCTTACGCGTTATCTACGTTATTTTGTAAGAAAAGAAGGATGTGAGGTTCTCGCGACGGTGAGTAAGACGACTGTCATACAAACGTACGTACGTACATTACATTTAATATCTCCGCGAAGACCAAGACGTCATCAGTGACTATACAAACTACTCGTGCAGCCGTCTATCTGTGGCTTGCTTATCAGACGTAATGTGTTGGATTGTGTCGCCGTAGTGACCTTAGAAGAAAGTCTGTTCTGATAAAGGGAGTGAATTATTGAGCATTCTGAACAACTGTTGCGTTTTCATTAATACACGCCATATGCCTATAATAGTATCACTTATACAGATTAAGGAGTGTATGAGTATTATTATGTGGAAATAGAACGGTGGAAAATGAAAGTTTAAATTATGCGTTCTTTGAACTCCAAGCGGTTCTCTTGTGCCCCATTGCTTCTTGATCCATTCTTAATTCTGTAAGATGATGAGTACTCGTGTGTGAGGAATGTAGCGGTAAAAAATAAAACGTTGCATTCAATATTTATTTTCATTCTTATTAACGTTATGGGATAATTTTTAGCTGTTTTTGGCTCAAAGAATGTCTTTGGAACTTATGTTTTTTTCCCCCCAAAGATTACGCTTTTCCAGTGCTGTTTTAAGATTAGGAGTTGTTAGCCTCCGCCAAGCTCTGAAGCTTTGGGATCACCACTTATCGGCTGTCCGCGAATGCGTATTCACTACGTTCGCCACTGACCTCTTCAACTGCAACCTGAGCGCGCGTCATACCAAGGTAACAAGAGGATTCAAGAGATGGAGATTACTATTAGTATCAGAAATTTATTTCCAGGGTGCTTTTGGAGACTTCTGGCCGCCATTGATAATTGGTTGCTGTTCTCTGCTGGGAGCTGCTGTGATTTTCTTCCTTCCAGAAACGAAAAACTGTGGACTGTCTGATACGCTGGACGATGGAGAACAATTTGGCAAGTACGTAGTAGCATTCTGTAGTATGCACATTTTAAAATGGATATGAGGTCGAGTGGGATTCACTCCAGATTCGTTAAATGTGTGTCTTAGCATCTCGAGGACACCGATCGACATTTATGATAACCTATTCTTAATTCTTCTCGGACTGCCAGCCGTGTAAGGTGGCTTAATAAAGAAAACACCAATGTTTCGAGAACCATCTTTGTCTTTGTCCTCACGATAGCCCGAGAAGAATTTATTATACTTAGTCGCCGTGAAAGCGACAGATCTTAGGATAACCTGTCTGCTTTAGGCCCATAAGTATTACTGCAGTTCCTTTATATGTTGTAATACCTACGTATAATGGGTTGCCCAGTGCAGACGTGAACCACGAGAGTCCGAAAACATTCTGTAATGTGAGTATCTATAATTGTGACTGAAATACCATTATGTGTATGTATTCAGATAAATTTATTTAAAATCGCCTTTCTGAACGTTGATTTTCAGGAAACATTCCCAAGACAAGGAAAATAGAAACTACATCCAAGTATCACAGCTGCAAAGCGACCCCGTCTGATGTTAGGGCCTACTGTTGAAGTCGACTCCTTTAAGCTAGGTGACACTTTAAGTTTTGAGAAATGTTACATCTTATGTTATATTAATATTACTGTAAACTTTTTGCAATTGTTTTATAACACGTTAGTGTTTTAATTTTCTGAACTGAATAAAAGATTTATGACTGTTTAAATAAATTCCATTTCTTACAAGCCAATTTGTTCTCATTCACAGTCTACCAGATACGTAGTTTGGTCTTGCGTATTTTTAGACATTTTAATTCTTCACAGCAGTAGTATGATGTAATGGCTTTCAAGCAGCAGAAGCAATTGTTAGACTGGTTTATGTGAATAAGGGATTCGTGGTGAGTGAATTACTTACGTAGTTACGAAAGACTTGTTCTCCTTCAGCGATCGGGTCGCTAGTCTCGTGAACGATGCAGCATAGTTTTGCTTCGCTGCCCACAGTAATCATGAACGAATTCAAAGAAAGGAAGAAAGAATGGATTGCGTGGCGAATCGGTCGGGAAATGCCCTTAAAAAAACTCGCATGAAGCACCGAAATTCGCGAACGAAATGACTCGTTTGAAGGACCCTCTGTGAACGAATCTTTCATTTGAGCTAGCATGAGTGAGCTGTCTCGTGAACTGGTCCTGAGGTTATTGCTGTCTCCATCAACAGGGCGATCGCCCTGATGATGAAGGGTGGATGAAATGCTGGTAGACTTCTATTAGACTACACTGCGATACATCCCAGAAGACAGCTCTCATTGTACTTACCGCCATGATAACCTCAAATCCTACAATTATAATCCATTTTATATTCATTTTATGTTAATAAACGTGTGAACTCACTCATTTAAATGGCTTTATAATGTATCACTGAAATAGGTTAACAGGCCCTGCAATGTTTTATTGGTGAAAATATACTTGTTTAAAATCGTATTATTAGTTAATGGCGTGTTCTATTCAGAGACACTCCTTTATACAAACGCATTTACTTTATCCAAGTAGCAGTATACAGCGTCACAAAACATTAGTTTCAAAATGCATTAATCTTTTAAGGTGCAACCTCAAACTGAAGATTACCTTCCAGTTCTGCTGTTTGCTGTTGTAATGTCATTGTTTTTATGTATCACATTGTTTATTTAAAATGTCCACAGTGCAGACTTATCATATGAGGTAATATCATTAAAAATACTTGTTACTTTAATACTAGTCCTACCATATGTACCTTTACTGTAATAGCATGATCGCCAAAAACACCATTCATCAGTGTTTCGAAATCCACTGCAAAATATTGATGAAATCACAAACGAATGTAATGAAGTATTGTAATATGAAACTACAATGGGTTAACTTCATTAACGTAGCTCTTATTTAAGGATCCTGTTGTGGTCTTGGATTTCTTTATTTTCCTGCAAAATAAGTACAGAAATTATACATAAAATTTATGTAATGCTGAGAAATAAGATTAACACCATCGTTACTACAAAAGCAATTTTATCCTTTCATTTCTTTGCCATTCTTCAACGAGAACATTTTCAGAAAGTTTTCCCAACAAAATTATGTAGAATTGTGTATTCTTTATTTTCGCCTCATCCTAGCTACATGTCCAGCCCATTGTAGTCTCATATATTTCACTGCCCTGACAATACTAGACGATCTAGATCACAAAATCCCGCATTATGTATGATGTATATTGAGAGGCTTATCTGGTCCATGTTCATCGACACATAAGGGGAGGAAATCATGTGCCCTAGTAAAGCTATCGATCATTTTAATTTTGGATACGGTGGCCTTGTATAAAGCACTGTGTGTGCCGAACGTTGCAGCCGAGTGGTTATCTCTTTTCGTATTTCGGAAGTCCCAGGTTAAAATTTCGGCTCGAAGATTAGATATACTAAGTAGGGTTCTTGATTATTTTCCCAATACCTATATGCATTTTACTAACCGAATAGCTTAATATTTGCCAGGTGTCTTTTCTCTGTGATCATAAATTTCATTCACATTATTCTGAGAAACATTTCACTAGACTAATTTCATAGAATGTATCTACGACGTATTTCTGATTTTGTATTTGGGCGAGAGGAGATTAAAAATGTAAATTTAAAACTTTAAACCCTGATTGTTTGTGCTTGTTTAACATCTTTTAGTGGATAACAGACACTGCTGCTGTTTCAGATGCTTACTTTCCAAAATTCTCGCCCTCCTCTAACGTGTCTGGAAGCTCGGCGTTGGCTGTCTCTGGAAGCAAGAGACACAGCAGAGCCCCGAACAGCGGAAACAATCCGAACGTCAGGGGTGGCATAAACACGCCGAACATGCTCTGTGACAAACGAGCAAAATATTCAGCATAAAAATTATCTTATTAGCGAGTAAGTTACAGTAAATTAAAAACTTGTTATAGACTTTCCAAGGAGTATTAGTCAACTTCAAACACATTTAGGAATAACAGTTTTTGTTGAGAAGCTAATAGTCGAAGATTTTTGTCTTCTGGGTTGTTGCGCTGTGTAGTCTGGTCGATGTTAACTAACGTTTCAGAGGTCATACTGCCTCCGTCATCAGGGCGATGAATATGAAGATTTCTGTCTTGTGGGTTGTTGCGTTGTGTAGTCTGGTCGATGTTAACTAACGTTTCAGAGGTCATACTGCCTCCGTCATCAGGGCGATTCATCAGAAGACAGAAATCTTTGACCTATTTCTTTAAGATCGATTATCATATTATCGTCTCATCTACATTTATATCTCTCAAGTGGGTTCTTAGTTTGGGTTTTCCGACTAAATTTTTTATGCAAATATATTCCGTTCATTTATTACGTGTCGAAAAGGGGGGATTATTAACCTAATTATTATGCGTTCCTTGCACAAAGTGGGTACATAAGCGTTGTTGAGGGAGAGAGGAATACGCTATTGAGGACATTTGGAATCGACCGTCTGTCACAGCCGGCAGACTTGGAAGTGATATGGTACTCGCCAGAGAGGTGACGTAGGGAGCAACCATGGAGCCGATTCGGGCGCACATGGACGAAGATCCTACGCCCACGTTGCGCACCACCGTGGGGAACAGCTCCGCGGAGTACAAGTACACAGACGAGAAGGACACGGACATGCCCACAATCCCTAGGGCCGCCAGCGTCACCTGGGGCCACTCCGGCTCTGAAAAAGTACAACAGTCACTTTGCCTGATTTGCTGTGACGATCAGTGACCTAAATTCAAATATTTAGTTGATGCGTAACGCTTAACTTCACATCTGCTATACCAGCTGTTGACACATCAATTGTCGGCCATGTAAAACTTGAAATCCTACCGGAAACTACGTGTACCACCTGCTTTAACAACCAACAATTCTGCGTTTTGCCCGCAAAGTGTATATGTAGGTTTTGCTTGATTTTCAGAATAAACTGTGAATATTTCCCTAAACGGCATTAACTGATTGATACTTTGTAATGGTTCTGGGTTTTCTTTGAGGTAAGGACTGAATGCTTAAGTATTATTAAGAAGAGCTTCGGTTCCAGACGGTTAAGTGGAACCCTTGTTACCATGGTATCCTAAGATTGTGGATGGAGGAGACCGCCTTTAGATATGGAGGATAAATTAGATTATTCTGAATAAGCTGTAGCGAATAGACAAGCGGTGGCCTTCCACCTGCAGGATCGTCGTGCTCAAATGACAAAGAAATTTCTTTATTTGTGGAACCGGAAGGGTTACTGTAATGTTCTTAAACTGAGAGATCAATGCCAATACGTTAACCGATTTATATTTATGGTATGTCACTTTAGATCAGTCTCCTCTATTTCTCTGATGGTTTCAAACGTTCTCAAACATTCTAAAACCACGATAATTTCTTAATGTAAGATATAAAATTTCACGTCCATCCATGCAAAACAAATGTTAAAATTATAGTCCACTTCGTAAAATATTACTTTAACCTTTAGAAATTAATAAGCAAATAAAATATAGTAAGAATATGCAACAGTGGACAACTACAATAAAACAAAACGCTTACGTTGAGGCATTGCCATGATGAGAAGACAGGAAACTGCTGAGAG